TACGCGTTTCCCGGTATATAAATGAGTAACTGTTATATGCTGGTGAGAAAAAATTCTGCTTCCCTGTATTATGCACTTAATCAGTGACTCCAATCACCGATTAAATGCATGATTACTATTAGCTGCGTAACACCGACTATTTAAAGCACACGCTTGTCTTTACACAATTATTGAATGTGTACATAATATTGTAATATTATGTACACATACAATTTTATATTAATGCTGCACGAGTGTATTTGGTTATATTAGTTTTTTTTATAAAGTCTATATATATATATATATATATATATATATATATATTATATAAATTTATATATATTTTGTATTTTGCATAACTTATTTAAATATTCTAAGAAGAGTGGGAGTCTTTTGTTGATTATGTTGCAATTTACCATAAACCACTCGCAACCAGGGTTGGGTTCATAGTTTACAGTAGGTAAATTATATTTGTTTTCTACATTTTTCGAAGTAGACTACATATTTTTCGTATGTCAATGGTTTTACATTAAACATTTCAATATTCTACATAATGTTATTAAAAAATTATGTAGAATGATGAAATTAATGAAGCGTAAAAGGATAAGAAATTCATAGTAAATAAATACAAAATAAACATTTATGTATTCCGAATGAAGTCACTGAGATAACATTTAATTTACGTTTCTTAACATCTTTTTGATTTGGTACAAACCTTGGTTCTAAGCATATGTTTCTGAAAATACGTAATAAATTAAATAATCGAAATCCATCGTTTGTATACTTATTAGTTTTAAATATTCATTTATATTTTGTATTCAAATCACTTATGCCCTTCCAGCTTCTTATAGGCTACGTTGGTAAAATCGACATCATATTTTTTGCACGTTGCAACCTTTTTATTGTTTTTATGTGTATCTGAAATCCTTCTGGTTTCTGTTTATTCATTCTTCTGATTTAATTTGAGCAATTGCATGAAAAAAAATTATCTTTGTGATTGCATTCAAGGTTAGGTTAAAGAACGTAATAGAGTAAACGTAATAGAGTTTTCGATATTTACAATGTATACTACATGTTCTCGACATTTTTAATGCATACTTTCAGTTTTTTACAATTTTATATCGAATATCTTTCGTTATGCGTAACTACCCAACCCTGTTCATAGCGCTTATACAGTAAAAAATTCTAAACATCCGCTGTATGGTTATGTTCAAACGGGAAACGCTTCCTTTAAAATAAAGAAATGCATTTTTTGTACGCTTGATGAGCGGTCCTAATTTTATAATAAATTATTAATTAATAATAAATTGTCACATTAATTACCTAACCTAACCTATCCTGTGCAATATGTGAACGCGCGCACCTGGCTGCGTCTATGTGTGCGTGTATAAGTGATCTACTGTACTCATCCCGTTTTCGTTATATCCAGCGACTGCCCTGAAACTGCAGACATTCGCTGCGAAATTCTATGGGAGCTGCTACCCCGGACATACGATCATTCTCAGAACGTCCTCAGTAGATCACAGTACGTATGAGAATGTACTGAGATGATCCGCAATATACGCACTGTGATATACTCAGAACGTCCTCAGAATATCCGTGTGCTGTTAGGGTAAAAGTAAAAATTATTCGCAGTAACAATATGCATACAGATTTGCCTATATATTTTTTTTCTTTTTTCTTAAATAAATAATTAATCTATATCAATGTTCTCTGTACTATTCAATTGTACAACTGGTAAATTTAAATTTAGATTTATTGCTATCTCAGTAAGCATTATACGGTTTTCTGCGAAATCGAAACGTTAATATTATTAGAAACAACGTAGAAAATAATTCTTAAGAGATAATGGTTAAAATATTAATTTTTAATTATTTAATTAGAATACAAACGACAATTCTATGTATTACGTTACATACATAACCTTACAATATCATAACATCACTCGATACAATCGATTTCTCTCTTTTGTACGTATTTCGCAACTCAACTTTCTATTTATCTTAATATTTGTATAAGCCATACATTTTGCGATAAATTATATGATTTTAATATCTCCAAACAATATTGTAGTCGCAAAGTTACATAAAATAATATTATATGGATTTTTTTTAACTGCTTTGAATATTAAAAGTATATTTCAAACAGAAATATACTTTTAATATTGAGAATAGCATATAACATAATGCGTTTCAGATGCAGGCTATCATTGAGACGGGGATGACACCCGTTTGACCATGGTGCGATTGGACACGCTCGATTGGACACGTTACGATTGGACACGGTTCAATTGGACACCACAGAATTGGCACGTTGCACGATTGGACACCGTAAGATTGACACACCGCTTGATTGGACACCGTACGATTGGACAACGCTCGATTGGACACCGTGCATTTGGACACCACAAATTTGGCACATTGCACGATTGGACACAGCACGATTCAAATTAACCTAACTATGCTCCACGACCGTACACAACACAACAAACAAATTTATTAACTATCGCGCCGTTCCTTGTCGCGCGTCAAGCCGAGTCCTATGTGCGGAAACGATGAATAACATGAATAATTCGAGTGTGTGATCGGATTTAATAGATAGATAGTGTAGTGTAGTGTATATTAAAGTGTATATTAATATATATTAAAGTGATTACATCAAGTGATTATAATTTTCAACTTAACAATATACGAGTAGTGTAACATATGCTGTATATAACAGTTACATGTTGAATGCGGAATTATAACATTGATGTAATTGCTTTTTCAGATCAGGACGTCAAACTAGATGCAGAATTGAAGAAATTTAAAGAAAATTCAAAGAACGTTCATGCAAAAGACATGAGACTTATATTTCTCTACTAGACAAATAACGCGCTTGTTCTTTATTATAATACATTAGTCAGCCCTATTATCCATTATTTTTCCACCTATATAATGTTATGAAATCCTTTCGCTTGATATATTTCATGTTTAATCACAGTACAGTTAGCTGCGAGGCTATGAAATAAATATTTGGCATGGGAACTTGGAAATTGCTGAATTCAACTCAGGTATATATTTTCAATATGTGACACTACTAGCTGTATCACTGGCTAATTGATAACGACCTTTTAATTTGTCCTTGTAGACAATAGAACAACAGGATTCACGGATGCTGGGATACTGGATATAACGTAACTAATCTCATTTCTTTTATTTTACTTTTTTTATTTTGTATCGTACTGTGTTAATCTCAGATGTAATATACAGCAATATATGTAATATTGTGTATATTACATCTGTGTATGTTTTAGAAATAATGGCTGGTTTTTCTTTCAATAAGAGAATTATGTGGGTAATATGTTATGTTGGGAAATATCTAAATTATTAACAGTTTTACCTACTAAGTTACTTTGACCAGTTTTATTCATGTGCGAAACTTCTTTATCCACACTTATTTAAAAGTAAGATTTCATATTTAACTTTAATAATAAAATGTGCAAAATTTATATAAGATATATATATTAAAGTGTAATAATTACTGTCATTTTAATAAAATTGATACTTTAAAAACTTTTTTTGTGGCGATTCATTTCAGGTAATAAATACACAACTTTTCCTTGTTTTACTTGAAATTGTCACTTTAATATGCACTATTAAGTATATAAACAGTATATAAATCACGTATATTAACAGAAAAATAATATATACGTATATAAAAAGAAATATTAGAAACATAAACATTCTTTGGCAAGAAATTCCTTAAAAGAATACTGTTTTACAATAGATATTCTAATA